AGGGTTGTAATTTTCTAGTCTTTAAATTTCCTGATCAATTGATTAATCCTCTCTTTTCTTGTTATGCTCATATACATTTTTATAAATATAAATTTTGTTCCAGGCATTGCTTTAGATGTATTTCATAAGTTTCAGAATGTCATGTCATTGTCATCATTATCTTTAATCAGTCAGTCAGTCAATAAGTATTTATTAAGGTCCTACTATATGCCATGCACTATACTAAGCTCTGGGGATACAAATACATTAAAAAAAAAAAAAAGACCATTCAAGGAGTTTACAACCTGATGGGGGAAAATAACACACAACCTCCTTCATTGTGGTTTTGGAACACATAGCTCTACCCTCCATTCAGAAGACAGAGGATACTGATGGGGTATGAGAACCAAAGCTGATTCAATCTTTAAGGATAATGAGGTTTCCCAATGAAGATGTTTCAAGGGGGCACAATGAAGAAGTCAAAGAAGTTCAGCCAGGTGAGAAATGAAAATATTATCTGTTTCAATGATTTGTTTTTTGACCCACTGATTATTCAGAATGCTATCATTTAGTCTCCATTTAGGTCTATATTTTTTACTCATATTTCCACTACTCATTATTAATTTTATTACAGAATAGTTTTTTGGCTAAATTTGAATTGCACTGAAGTAGGAAATATAGTTTTATTGTGCTATTGTCTATAAAAATCTTTGTTATATATTGTGTATACCTTTTTATATTTCTTTATGATTCCCTTTTGCTGCAGCAAATGATCAACTTTTTTTTCAAAGAATGGAATTCTGGGGGGAATGAGAATTCTTTTATATTCCCATTGAGATTTCCTTATAGGTTTTAAAAAAATCTAGTTTTTCCAACAATTTGTTCCACTCTATATTTTTGTTCTTATTTATTTTTCTTTTGGATTTATCTAGCTCTGTCAAAGGAATATTAAAGTGTCCCATTATTATTGTGTTGCTATTATTGTCTTCCTGCAATACACCTAGCTTATCTTTTAATGAATTTAGCTATTACGCCATTTGGTGCATATATATTTAATACTATCATTTTTTTTCTTTACCTATGCCACCTTTAGGTATATATATGTATGAGGTCTTCAGGGAGGACTAGTACCTCTGGTATGACAGCTTCCAAGCCCTTTTCAGGGCTGCATAACCACCTTTGGTGTCCACCTGCCACCTAGCTCTCACCTGTGGCTCCAAGAAGCTGTAACATGCACAGTATGTGCCAAACCATCTCAGCATATAGGCTAAACCAAGTTGAGAGTAACTGATGGGCAGAGTGTCTACCCCAAACATGTGAAGACTTCCCCAGTGGAATGGGAAAATGTGAATATTTTGCTTCAACTGGCCATGAAGGTGGCAGAAGCAGGGGCCATGGGGCACTTAGAGCTTGGTCAGACATCAAAGATGCTAAGGTCATCCACTGCATCCAGAGCCATTGCCAGGCATCTTGACTTTTGTCTTGTCACTTGATGACTCTGGAAGACAAAATGAAGCTGATGACTTTGAGCAACTCTGCTTCACTTAAATCCAATTTATGTGAGAATCAAAAGGCATCACCCATACCATTTTATAGTTTTATTATTTTACTATTCAAAAATTGTGTAATTTAATTATGTTACTATTTTATTATTTATTATCTTATTATTTTACCTACCTTGAAATCCTGTGTCAACCAGCAAGTGTAGATGCACTGGAAGTTACAATCTCAACCATGCAAATAGGCAATTCAAGTTGTGGGGTTGTCTTCTTACCGGACTGAAGCTGCAATGAGATTCAGCAGCTCCCTAGGTGTCTGAGTAGCCTTCTTTTTGGGGTGGGGGGGAAGTGGGCGAGGTAATTGGGGTTAAGGGACTTGCTCAGAGTCACATAGCTAGCAAGTGTTGTGAGTTTGAGGCCAAATTTGAACTCAGGTCCTCCTGACTTCAGGGCCAGTGCTCTATCCACTGTGCCACCTAGCTGCCCCCCTGAGTAGTTTTCTTAAGGATCACACTGCTTACCTCCTGGTGTGAGGAAGGGGCTAAAAAAGGTGCCCCAAAAGTTGTCTGCTTCACTTAACCTTGGCCTGCTTATTGCAGCAGGCAGGAATCCCACCCTACAATTGAATCACAAAAACCCACACGAAAACTTTGCAAAGATGATTCCACTCACCATTGGTACATGGAATGTGTGCATGCTTAGGGGCAACAAGAAATCCAGTGGACCTGGAAAACCAACAGCTGTTGTTGTAAGAGGACTCGGCAAATTTCGCATCCAAATAGCAGCCCTGATTGAAAATAAGTCTGGCAAATGAAGGCCAGTTTACCAAAGTCAGAACTGAATATACATTTTTCTGGAGTAGCTGCAGTGATGGAGAATGCAATGAAGCTAGCATAGGTTTTACAATAAAATCTAATCTAGTCAACAAACTTGTAGTGTAGGAGAGGCAAATGACAATGTGATTGCCATTTGCAGAAAAGTGCCAAATCACCATCATCAATGTGTATGCTCCCTCCATGACAAACCCTGATGTGGTCAAAGAAAAAATTTATGAAGACCTGGAGACCCTCATCATCAATGTGTCAAAATAGTATAAGTTTGTAATTTTGGGTGACTTTAACACCAGAATAGGCACAGACTATTAAACATGGCATGGAGTCTTTGGGAGGAATGGAGTTGGAAACAGCAACAGTCACTTACTATTGAAGACTTGTGCATCTCATGACCTTCTTATCACCAATGTTGTCTTCTATTTACCTAAATGCAACAAAACTTCATGGATGCGTCCTCAGAGCAAACATTAGCATTTAATAGATTGTGTCATTGTAAGGAGAAGAGAAACATAGGATGTGAGAGTGACAAAGGCTATGTGTGGCACAGAGTACTGGATCAATCATAGATTTCTCCAAGCTAAATATTCACATTCAACAAAAGCAATGGCCCCAAGGAATAATGACTATCAGAAGATTCAATTTCAACAGATTAGAACTTCACTGTGGGTGAATACTTTGTTACTGATTTGGGGGGAAAGCTGAGCCAACATACTGTTGGTAACAGTGGAGCAGAGAAGGAGTGGGCACCTTTCAGAGATCTGTGTATAGTTCTGCGTTTACTCATCTGGACCAGAACACTTGCAATCAGGACTGGTTTGATGAAAATTATGGGGAAATTCAGAAGCTACTAAATGAAAAATTAGAACTCTACCGATTCTATCAGTATAATAGTTCATCCATCTCTAAAAAGGCAATGTTTAAAGTAAAGTACAAGCAAAGCCAAGAGAGATGCAGGATTCTTGGTTCAGTAAGAAGGTAGATGAAATTCAGTTTTACACTAATAGCATTATAATTTATAAAGAGCTTAGTACAGTACCTGGCACATAGTAGGCACTTAAGTTTCCTTCCTTCCTAGATTGGAGGCAGTCAAGTATAACTGTTGTTCTGATATTTGACTAGAGCCAAATAATCTCACATGTATCAAGATAGCCCCAAAGAGAATAGGTCATTGTCCCCTTTGAATCATGGGGACCCAGAAGAGTATTCTAGATTTGAAGTACTTTATGAGTCAGATAGTTATATCCCATGTTCTATGTGCAGGGATACAAGTCATCAATCATTGACTCAGCTCTCCCTTACCTTGACAATTACTAACTGTGTGACCCTGGGCAAGTCACTTAACCCCAATTGCTTTGCCAAAAAAAAATTTAGTAAAATTATACTAAGGCTTTTGGGACACACTATATCAGCTCATTTGTGTGCATATCTCACAGTAGCCCTATAAAGTAGGTACTATAGAACTTTTAGGTTCTGGTTCAGATTGCGATTTCCTCCATGCAGGGAACTCCCAGTGTGCAAACTCCCTACATGAGTGCATAGAGGTCACAGAGAAGTCTTACAAAGTATATAGAACACTGGGAAGTTAAGCGATTTTTCCCCATCATGCATATAGTATGTGTTATGGGCAGAGCTTGAATTCAGCTCTTCCTGACTCTACTACCTGGACTATTATCTAGTAAGTGCAAAATATGTCTTAAGCTCTGTCAAGCCAGACTGACTAACTAAACTGGATACCTGCAATTTACCTTCTAAATATAATTGGTAGACCAAGAGGTCCTCCACACTAAAGTAACTTTATACACTACAGGACTGACTGTGGATATGACATATTGTCACCTGCTAACAGAGAAGTGGCCTGGGAGAGCAACAAGGAGCAAGGCCTGGGTCCCAACCTCACAATGTCCTTCCTGATTCTCTTGGGGTGTGACATCCAAAATGACCAGAAATCCACATGGGTGCTTCTGTTCATAGAGCTTTGGATTGCTCATCTTCCTCTGCATCCATTTGAAGGTTTCTTGGTGAATGATTTTGCATTTTTATGCTGTTTTCCATTATATTTGCCATTAGGCAGAGTGGATACAGAGCTGGCTTGGAGTCAAGGAGACCCGTGTTCAAGGTCCACCACTATATTGGCTGTGGTGACCCAGGACAAATCACTGACCTTCTCAGTGCCTAGGCAACTCTCTAAAATGATTAATTTCTGGGGGTGTATTAATCTACATTGGTAGAAGAAGTTTTATTATCTGGTGTTCCTTATACCACACAGTTTAAAAAAAAAAAGCCTATGACAAGCCCTGCCTGTAGGGAATATTGATCTGACCCTTCCCACTCCCTACTTGTTCTAGTCTCATTCATCAACCCAAGTAGCTGCAGTACGTGATCTTCCCTATTTCCCAACTGACACACTCATAGAGGTTCCTGATCCCATTTCCCCATTAGGGTCTTCCTCGTTCCTCACCACGTACACATCCCCCACCTAAAGAGGTTCCAAACTCCTGAACTCTAGCCCTCGCTATGGAGGCTGTCCCTATGCAGGCCCTCCCCAACACACATATCCTCCCCACTCCCAACACATATCCTTCCCCACCCTTTCTCCATATATACTCCCTGTGGTATTCCCTCCACTTCCAACATGCTCACTCTTTCGCTCCCCCAGCGTTCACACAAGAATAGTGCACAGAACATAGGGTAAAGAACAGGCCAGGCGACATGTGGTAACATGTACCATCGGCTTTATTGGGAGGAGAAGGTCAGGGAAGGAAGGATACATGGGTTGGATTAGGGAGAGAGGACCCTCAGGAGCAGTTGTACATTAGACTTTCCATCTTCCCATCAGGGCAATGGAATCTGAGACAGACCAAATCATCATATTCTCCCACCTGGGCTGTTCTGGCTGCTGAGTTGAGCCTGACTTGTGACTGACCACGAGAGGGAAAGGAGAAGACGGTGAAAGTAAAGCTGAGTCAGCTCTCCTCTCCCAAGTCTGGGCTCAAGGTCTCAGAGAACATGGAGTAAGCAGATTTACTGCCCCACCTAGGGCTTAGGCAGGGCTGGGGCTAAAGTAGGGGAACCTGTTGGAGCTACTGGCCTCCTAGTGCAGGAAATGGGAGGGTCTAAAGGAAACAGGAAGATGAGGAATCTCTCTATATAGATGGTTCCCACAGAGAGAGGGCATGGCTAGGCATGGGTCCCAGTGGCTTTTACTTCTGCTTGGGCTGCTAGGCAGGTGGGCACTTCTGCTGGGCTGGTGGGCACTTCTGCTGGCCTGGTACAACCGTGCCCTTGGGTGTGCATGGGTTCTTGGTTTGAGGAGCATAGGGATCCTTTGTTTGGGGAGCACACTGCTCCTGGCACTTGACCGGGGGTGGCTGGCAGGGTTGTTTCACCTGCTGCTGCTGAGGCTGCTGGGAGGGGTATTGATGCTGCTGGGATGACATCGTTCTCCACTGGGATGAGCTTGAAAGGGATAAACACACAGGTGACATTAGCCGCTACCCCAGAACCCACTGGAAAGGAGGATTCACAGTGTCCTGGATCTACAAGGATCAGCCCACCCATCCTCCCCTCGTTTTAGAGATGAGGACACAGAAGCACAAAGCAAGAAAATGCCTTGCTGAAGGTCACACAGTCAATGGTGGAATCAGAGTTTGAATCTAGGTCTTTGTATTCCAATTCTTGTTATCATTTTTCAGCCACAACCTGTAGCTTCCTACACATTTCCATATGCAGTGTCTAGTACAGAACTGAGCACAGAACAGGATGATAGGCTTATTGATTTGGACAGGGAGGGGGTGCAGAGTGCTAAGCGTAGATGAGGATAGATAGGAAGACCTGAGTTCAAATCCAGCCTCTAACACTTACAAGATATTTGACCCTGGGCAAATCATTTAACATCTCTCAACCTCAGTTTCCTTGTGTGTAAAATAGGGACAATAATAGCACCTTCCTCCCAAGGCTGTTATGAAAATCAAACAAGATGATATGTGTAAAGCATTTTGCAAACCATAAAGCACTATATAAATGCTAGCTATTATTATTACTAAATGGCAGCTAGCTGACACAGCAGATAGAGTACTAGGCCAGGAATCAGGAAGACCTGAATTCAAATCTGGCCTCAGACACTCACTAGCTGAGTGACCCTGGGCAAGCCTCTTAACCCTGTCTGCCTCAGTTTCCTCACCAGTCAAAAGCTGGAGAAGGAAATGGCAAACCATTCCAGTATCTTTGCCAAGAAAACCCCAAATAGAGTCACAAAGAGTTGGATATGACTGAAACAACTGAACAAGAACAAATTATTATTAAATCTGGAGAATACCTTAGACATTATCTCATCCAACCCTGCCATGTTGCATATGAGGCTTATAGAGGTGAGCTAATTTTCCCAAGACTACCTAAGTAGTAGTAGGCAGAAGAGCCAGGATCCAAAAACAGATTCCTGACTCCAAATTCAGTACGATTTCCACTCTACCATGTTCAATAAATACTTGTTGGCTGGTGAGTAGGCTGATGGCTGTCCTAGCCATGGTGCCTAATCCAGGACCCTCTTCTCTTCTCCCCAGCATAACTGCCTTAAAAGGTAGTGGATTTTCTATCACTGGGAGTCAAAAAGCAGAGGTATCATCAGGGATGTTGTTAGAGGGTTCCTGTTCACACAGAGGTTAATCTAGATAGCCTCTAAGGTTCATTCCAATTCTGACTGTCTTTCCTCATCTTACCAGCAAGGTAAGTCACCTTAGGTAGCTGGGTGGCACCATGGATACAGCATTGGCCTTAGAGGCAGAAAGACCTGAATTCATATCCTGCCTCAGACACTTATTAGCTGTGTGACCCTGGACAAGTCACTCTCTCAGGCTCATTTTCCTGATCTGTAAATGGGTATCATTATAACACCTATCTCACAAGGTTGTTGTAAAAATAAATTATTGTAAAAGTGATAACGTTGTAAAAATGATAATATATTTAAAGGGCTTTGTAAATCTTAAAGCACTATATAAATGCTAACTATTGTTCAGGGGCCTGAAACTTTGACCTCCTGCATTGTTTTTTTTTTTGGTGGGCGGGGAGATAGGGAGAAATAGCGCACAGAGCACTAGCCCTGGAGTCAGAAAGACTCATCTTCCTGAGTTCAAATCTGGCCTCAGACACTTTCTAGCTGTGTGACTCTGGGCAAGTCACTTCACCCTGTTTGCCTCAGTTTCCTCATCTGTAAAATGAGCTGGAGAAGGAAATGGCAAACTACTCTCAGTGTCTTTGCCAAGAAAACTCCAACAGCGGTCACAAAGAGTTGGACACAACTGAACAAGGAGAGAGAAGTGGTGGAAACATCACTAGACAAAGAGCTAGGAGCCCTGGAGTCTAGTCCTGGCCTCACTCCTGCCTAACTGTGTAACCTGAAGCAAACAGCCTATGATAGAACCTGAGGTGGAAGATATTTCAGAGGTAAGCTAGTCCAACCTAAGCAAGAAGCCTCTGTGTGAGGTTTGTATTTTGTTTTATTTTTAGGCAATCAGGATTTTGTGACTGCCCAGGGTCACACAGCTAGTGTCAAGTATCTGAGGCCGGATTTGAACTCAGGTCCTCCTGAATCAAAGGCCAGTGCTCTATCCACTACACCACCTTCCTTCTCCCTGCGCTAGAAGTTGCCCATCAAATGGATAATCAGCTTCTTCTTGAAGACCTAGAGTAAGGGAGAGCCCAGCACCTCTGAGCCTAATTTTTCCCCATCTGTCCAATGGGGATAATGATATCTTCCATGTTTACCACTTAGAGGAGCTGTGAGTAGCAATGAGATCATGGATTTGAAGGTGCTTTGAGAAGTCAGAGCATGTTTCAAGACATCACATGGATGTATTGGAAAAAGCACTGTCCTGGGAGTCAGGATATCTGAGTTCTAAGTCTCCCATCTGCCCCATCTTTAGACTCATAGACAACTGTTTAAACTAGAAGATATTGTAGAGATCATTTGATCTAATCCTTCACTTTACAGATGAGAAGACTGAGGGACCCAGAAAGGAAAGGACTTGTCCAGGAAGACACAGCAAGGATGTACATTGGGTTACAAAGTTCCTTTCAGCTCCAGCATCCTCTGCCTCCATGGTTCTACCTGGGTGAGCTGTAGGACACAGAAGTATCCTCGCCTAGCTACAAGGAAGCATCCTTAACCCCAATGCCAACCCAAGATTATTGAGGCAAATGGTAATCTAAATTGAATAATCAGCTATGAGGCCCCTATTTCAAGAATAGTCAAGAAATTTAAAGGTTTCCCTGAACCCCAGAAAAATATAAAGACCAACCAGGCTTTGTTGGCCTTGAGATAGCCAAAGGGCCCTGACTTACCCAAAGCAGCAGGTAGGATGAGTGAGAAAGAATCAGGGAACACATTGTTCAGCTCCCAGATCTTGGTAAGCTTTATACAGTCCCCCCAAATGCCTCGGGGCACTGGCATTGCCCGTGACTATCAGATCCCAGTGAATACCTTGCCAATTTCTCCCACCTGCACTTCCTCCAGGGACTAGTTTTACTAGCCTGTTTTGGTGGAAACCACCCACTGGGTGCTTTTAGCATGCCTGGTCTTTCTCCACCTAAACACATCTGGTGAGATAGTCCAAGGGTGGGGGACCTCGGGGAGTAGAAAAATGAAGTGGGGGGGGAGCATCTAAATTATAGTAATAGCTTATATCTACATAGCGCTTTATGCTTAATAATAATAATAGCTAACATTTATATAGTGCTTAAAGGTTTGCAAAATGCTTTATAAATATTATCTCATTTGATACAACATCCCTGGGAGTAGGTGCTACTATTATCCCCATTTTACAGATGAGGAACCTGAGGCAGACAGAGATTAAGTGACTTGTCCAGGGTCACACAGCTGGTAAATGTCTGAGGTCACGTTTGAACTTAGGTCTTCTGACTCCAGATTCAGCACTATCCACCGTGACACCTTGCTGCCTACAAAGTACTTTACCAATATTATCTCAACTGAGCTTCACAGAAAGCCTTTAAGGGAGGAAATAGGAAAAGCGCTGTTATTCCCTTTTTACATAAGAGCAAACTGAGGCTCAGAAAATTCAGTTCAATGGGACAAATTTGCATTAAGTATCTATTAAGTATGAAGATATACAGGTGAAAATTTTCATGATCTTTACCCTCAAGGTAAAAGGAAGGCTGGAGAAATGAAGTGACTTGACCAAGGTGTCACAGCCAGTAAGTGACATTAGTGCTTTGGAAGCTCCGTAACTGTTGTAGACATAAGCAACATGCGGAAGCCCCGTCTGGAGCTTCCACAATGTAATTATTATCACATTCACCTTACACTGGAAAGGCCCCAGCTTGTAACGAGGCAGAAACCAGCCTCTCTCACAGCTTCTTCAAGATAGCACAGTGGATAGAGGCCTGGGCCTACGCTCTGGAAGACCCGAGTTCAAATTCGAACTCAGACCTTTACTAGCTGTGTGATCCTGAGTAAGAGGATATTAATAACAGTTGTGAGGATCAAATGAAATAATATTTGTAAAGCATTTAGCACATTATCTGGAACATTTTAATTGCTTAGTCATTTTTCAGTCATATTCGACTCTTCATTATCTCATTTGGGGTTTTTTTGGGCAAAGATAATGGAGTGGTTTGCCATTTCCAGCTCATTCGACAGATGAGGAACCTGAGGCAAACAGGGTTAAGTAACTTGTTCAAGGTCACACAGCTAGGAAGTGTCTGAGGGCTGATTTTTAACTCAGGAAGAGGATTCTTCTGCCTCTAGGCCTGGCACTCTATCCACTGTGCCACCAAGCTGCCCCCACCTGGTACATAGTGGGCACTATATAAAAGCAGTTTCCTGTCCCTTAACCTAGGCCCTGCCTGGCATGAATTGTCCAGCTCTGGGCAGAGCAAAGTGCAGAAGATGCCCTGTGTAAGGGAGATCCTAGACTTTTGGTCCTTTAACAGATAGGAAGGAAGGAATTGCTATGATTTGAATCTCTGGATAATCAACTTAGCAACCCAAGTCATAAAGAATTGCCAAATGTTAGAGCTGAGCAAAGATCGTGAAGGCCAACATGCTCATTTCAGAGGTGCAAAGGGGACAGCTGACTTGCCCAAGGTCATAGGATCATAAATGTAGAGCTGATAGGGGCAGCAGGGTGGCACAGTGGATAGAATACTGGCCTTGGAGTCAAGAGGGCCTGAGTTCAAATCCAGCCTCAGATGCTCACTAACTATGTAACCTTAGGCAAGTTACTTAATCCCCCATTGCCTCCAAAATATTATATCATTTGATCCCTACAACAACCCTGGGAGAGAGATGTTATTATTATCCACATTTTAAAGTTGAGGAAATTAAGGCAGATAGAGGTTAAATGACCTGCCTAAGGTCACACAAGTAGTAAGTGTCTCAGGCTGGATTTGAACTCAGAGCTTCCTGACTCCAAGCCCAGAGCTCTATTAAGCAGCTTCCTTCCATTCCAAATCCAGCATTCCATCTACTATACCATACTGCTTTTCATATAGTAAGTTAGTAGCAGAACCAGAACTAGGGTCCAAGTCTTCTGCTGGCCATTTATTATTTCTTAAAGGGATTTGGCAATTATTATTTCATGTGCTCCTCAGAGCACATTGCATAGCTAGGTAGGTGGTACAGTGGCTGGAGTATGGGATTTGTAGTTAGGAAGACCCAAGTTCAAATCCGGCCTTAGACACTCACTGTGTGACCCTGGGCAGGTCATTTAACCTCTGCCTGACTCCTTTTCCTCCTCTGTAAAATAAGGATATTAGTAACAGTTGTGAGGATTTCTCTCAGCCTCATTTTCCTCATCTGTAATATGGCAATCATTATAGCAGAAAATCAAGTAAGTGCTTTGCAAACCTTAAATTGGCAATATGTGAAAACTGTATTGTCCTGACTTCAATCTCTCTCACCTCCCATATCCAGTCAGTTGTCAAATCATGTAATTTCTGCCTTTATAACATCCCTCCAATAGGTCCCCTTCTCTCCTTTGATGCTGCTTTCAGCCCAGTGCAAGCCTCCCTCACCTCATATTTGTACTGCTGTTACAGCCCTCAGGTTGATTTCCCTGCCTCAGCTCTTTTCTTATCCCAATCCATTCTCTACTGTCAAAGCGATCTTCCTAAAATTCAGACCTGGCCATGTTCCACCCTACCTGACTCAGCAAACTCCAGGTAGGAAGGAAAGGATTTCTGTGATCTGAATCTGGGGTACTCAAGCAAGTGGCTTGATCACCTTCAGCTGGGTCGGGGAACCTGCGGCCTCAGGGCCACATGTGGCCCTCTAGGTCCTCAAGTGCAGCCCTTTGACTGAATCCAAATGACACAGAACAAATCCCCTTAATGAAAGGATTTGTTCCGTGAAACTTGGATTCAGTCAAAAGACTTCACCCGAGGATTTAGAAGGCCACACGTGGCCCCGAGGCCGCAGGTTCCCTACCCTCGAAGGTCCTTCAGGATCAAAAATAAAATCCTGTGTTTGGCTTTTAAAGCCCTTCAAAACTTGGCTCCTTCCTACTTTTCTCGTCATTTTACACCTTACTCCCTTCCAGGTACAATAAGATCCAATGACATTGGCCCAGTGTTTTCACTGTCTGTCCCCCATGCCTGGAATGCTCTTCCTCATCACCTCTGCTTCCTGGCCTCCTTCAAGTCCCAGCAAAATACACACCCCCCCCCCCAACCAAGAAGCTTTTCTACAAGAAACTTAATCTTAGTGCCTTCCCTCTTTGTCATTCAATTCTTTCAGATTCTTCATGACTCCATTTGATATTTTCTTGGCAAAGATACTGGAATGGTTTGCCATTTCCTTCTCCACCTCATTTTACAGGTGAGGAAACTAAGGCAGATAGGATTAAGTGACTTGCCCAGGGTCACACAGCCAGTAAGTGTCAGAGGCCAGATTTGAACTCAGGAAAATGAGTCTTCCTGATTCCAAGCCCAGTGCTCTATCCACTGAGCTACCTAGTTGCCTCTTTCCCTCTTAGACTACCCTTGATTTATCCTCTCTATTTTTTTGTTTTCACACAGTTGTTTGAATGTTGTTTCTACCATTAGATTGTGAACTTCTTGAGAGTAGGAACTGTTTCTTTTTGTACTTTCTTTGCTGAGAGCTTAATACAGTGCCTGGCACATAGTAGGCACTTAATAAATGCTAGTTGATTGATTGAGAAGTTATCATTGTTACTTATTATCATTATTATTTTGTAATGTAGACAGAGTGAAAATTACTATCCTCTATGTAATTACTTGACCTGCTGCAGATTGGGAATCAGGGTTTATCAATATATTAATTAATGAGCATTTACTAAGTGCCTACTGTATACTAGGCACTATGCTTGAGGATATAATGAAAAAAAAAAAAACCAGTCCCTTCCCTCAGGGAGCTTACATTCTATATTGGAGCTTGGAGAGAAGTTTGCACCTTGGGACAGCTCCAGAGAGCCTCAGCACAACAATTGCATTAGAAAACTGCCATTTCTGTGGCAGAGTAAGATGGCTTTGCTTTGTGGAGGGAAGACCTTTATGATAAAAAGACTTAGGGCTCTTCCTTCCTTGTTAGGTTCTGGCTGTGCCCACAATGGGCCATATCCTTTCTCCTTGGTAGCCGGAATGGAAAACAGAGCCTTCAGGCCTTCTCCTCCTTTCTGCCCAATTAACCTTCAGACAAAGCCTTCTGGGTTCAGGTTTCCTCATTCCATCTTTAATGTAGACATCTCCACCCCAGCCTGGGCCCCTGGATGGAAATAATGCAATTAGAGGAAAGTAACCTACCAATAGTCCAGGCATTTCAATTGTATCATCTCAATTGCAGGCTAATTGGAGTTAATTTTCTTCTTTGATGTTCTCATTCTTTTCACTGATCTAATTTGTCTCTGAATGTCTCATTCAATTTGAGGAGGTTTGGGGGGAGAGAAGGGGATTAAAACTTAAGCACCCAAATTAATGTGACCAGTGGAAAGAGAATTGGATTTGGAGAACCTGGGTACCAAGCCCACTTCTGCAACTAATTGTGTGACCTTAGACTTGGGGTGGGGAACCTGCGGCCTCAAGACCACATGTGGCCTTCTAGGTCCTTGGGGGTTGCCTTTTGACTGAGTCCAAGTTTTACAGAACAAATCCTTTTATTAAGGGGATTTGTTTTGTGAAGCTTAGATTCAGTCAAAGAGCCACACTTGAGGACCTAGAGGACCACATGTGGCCTCAAGGCCTGCAGGTTCCCCACCCCTGTGTTAGGCAGATCAATTTACCTTTTTGTCCTTTGCTCACTTACCTGTAAAATGAAGGCATTGAACTAGGTTAGTGGTTCCTAATGTTTTTTGTCCCTGAACTCCTTTCAAAAACAAAAAAGAATGTGTTGTGAAACTCCTGGGTGTTTTAATATTGTATTCATAATATTCTGCAGTTATTTACTGCTTAAAGAATTGAAGAACTTTTAGCAT